AGTTGGAAGCATAATGGATGACTCTTTTCCTTATCCACCACTCATCAGTCGAACTCTGGTGACTTGTGTATTGCTGTGAGACAGATAGCTATGACACTGGCATTTTAAATAACAGCAAGGTCACCTGGGGGAGGCAGGTTTCAGCAGAGCCTCCAGACAAAGACAGACAAGGAAGAAGGTGAGGCAGATGACTTCTGGGTATTTAGCTATTGAAATCCTTATGAATAGCAGGAGAATGTTGTCAGATATAATGCTAGAAGATGAAAGCATTATGAATATATCTGATAGGAACATTATCAGATATAGTGCCAAAAGATGAGACCCTCAGATTGGAAGGCACTCAAAATAAATTTGGGGAAGATCTGCCTCCTCAAAGTAGAGTTGACCACGATGACAAAAATGGGGTCAAGCTTTTCGCTCTGCATTTGCTGATGCGGCACAACTCAAAGTGAGGAGAAACAACTGCACAGAGCCATTAATAAGCAGAGCATACACTGTATGAAGTATGAACCTAGGAAAATTGGAATTGTTCAAAATGAAATTAAAAGTATAAAGGTCGATATCTGAGACATTAGTGAGCTGAAATGGACTGGTATTGGCCATTTTGAATCTGACAATCATATGGTTCACTTTGCTGGGAATGACAAATTGAAGAGGAATGACATCACATTTATCGTAAAAAATAACATTTCAAGATTCCTTTTGAAGTACAATGCTGTCTGTGATTGAATAATACACGTATGCTTACAAGGAAGAACAAGAAGCTCTGGGTGTGTAGTGGATTATGAACTGAGCTGCTAACTGCAAGGTCAGCAGTTAAGATCTACCAGTCGCTCTGTGGGAGAAAGAAGAAGCTTTCTGCTCCTATAAAGATTTACAGTCTCAGAAACCCTATACAGGGTCACTGAGTTGGAACCAACTCGAGTGCACATAGCCAGTACCTCCACTAGGAAGACTAAGTAATACCACTATTATTCAAATGTATGCACCAAACACTAAAGTGATGGTGAAATTGAAGACTTTTAACAAATTCTTCAATCTGAAGTTGATCAATTATGTAATCAAGATGTATTGATAATTACTGTTGATTGGAATACAAAGGTTGGATACAAAGATGAAGGATGAGTAGTTGGAAAATATGGCCTTGGTGAGAAATGATGCTGGATATTTCATGATAGAATTTTGCAAGACCAATGACGTATTCATTGCAAACATATTTTTAAACAGCATAAAAGATGACTATGAACATGGACCTCACCAGAGGAAATACACAAAAATCAAATTGACTACATATGTGGGAAGTTGTTGTTGTTAAGTATCATCAAGTCAGTTCTGACCCATAGCAACCCTGTATAGGGTTTCTGAGGAGCAGCTGGTGAAATGGCACAAAACCAAAATATCATCAGCCAAAACAAGGCCAGGGGTAGACTGGAACAGACTATCAATTGCTCATATGCCAGGACAGGCTGAAGGTGAAAAAAATTAAAACAAGTCCATGAGAGCTAAAATATGAACTTGAGCATATTCCATCTGAATTTAGAGATCCTCTCCAGAACAGATTTGATGCATTAAACACTAATGACCAAAGATCTGAAGAGCTGTGGGATGTATTGGTCATTATTGGGGATTGGAATGCAAAAGTTGAGAGCAAAGAGGAGGCATAAATAGTTGGAAAATATGGCCTTGGTGATAGAAATGATGCTGGAGAACTCATGATAGAATTTGGCAAAATCAATGATTTGTTCATTTCAAATACCTTCTTTAGACAACATATGACACGACTATACACATGGACCTCACCAGATGGAATACATAGAAATCAAATTGACTACATCTTCTGAAAGAGACGATGGAAAAGCTCCATATCATCAGTCAAAACAAAGCCAGGGGCAGACTGTGGAACAAACCATCAATTACTCATATGCAAATTCAAACTGAAGCTGAAGAAAATGAAAACAAGTCCACAGGAGCCAAATATGACCTTGAATATATCCCACCTGAATTTAGGGATCATCTGAAGAACAGATTTGATACATTAAACACTACAGACAGAAGACTAGATGAATTGTGGGATGACATCAAGATCATCGTACATGAAGAAAACAAAAAGTCATTAAGAAGACAAGAAAGAAAACAAAGGTCAAAATGGATATCAGAAGAGACACTGAAACTTGCTCTCCAGCGTAGAGATGCTAAAGCAAATGGAAGAAATGAGGAAGTCCAAGAGCTGAACAGAAAATTTCAAAGATCAGCTCGAGAAGATAAAGCCAAATATTACAATAAAATGTGCAAAGATCTGGAATCAGAAAACGAAAAAGGAAAGAAGAT